CTTTCCTCACTGCTCCCGCCTCCCAGCCACCCTAGGAAGCATGACCAGCGTCCCTCATGCCTCAATCCCAAATCCCAATTTTCTAAAAAATGAGTTTCTTGAATTTACTTCCTCTTTCTGTCTTTTCAAATTCTTTTTTTTAACTTCTTTTCAGATCTTCTTTGAGTGACTGACTTCCTTCATTTCACTGCCCTTTCCCCATCCCCTTTTCCTTTCCACCTCCTATTTCATTAACCACTCCATCCCATTAATTCTCTGCCTCCCAGCTTCATGTTCCTGCCCTCTCCACCACAAACCACACTTACACCCCCCACATAGAGCAGGGATAGAAGCTTGTCCTGGCTCACCAGCCCTGTAGTGTCAATTCACAGCTGTAGCTCCTAGTCAGGCCCCTGCTCACCAGCCTTCTAGGGGTAAGTCACAGCTGTGCAGGTGGGGTACAGTCAGAGAAGGTTTTTATTCTTAAAGTGTGACTGTTTCAAACTCAACCTAGCACTAACATATGAGCAGGTCAACATGCAACATGTAACAAGGCCCACAGTTTAGTTTCCATTTACTAAAGCTAGGTACAGATGTTACACTTACCATTCAACAAATGTACAGATGTTCACAGTACATAGAGCACTTTAAATGTGGCAGATCCTGCTCTAAATTAACCCTGGGTGGATATGGTATCAGACTAAAGCACTTTAGGTTAGAGTCCTTTATTGAATGTCTGTACCACAACCCATTGTGAATCAAGGTAGGTTGCACAATGCTGGAATCCCTGGGGCCTCTCACTGGATGGGTTTCTAGCTTTGGCCAGTGCACATCTGCTCTAGTTGAGCACTGGCCCAGCCCAGCCTCACCCCAGAGCTGTCACAGAGAGGAGACAGAAAAGGCTCTGCCTCCTTCCTGCATGGCCAGGCAGGGGGGTTGAAGGAAAGAGCTCCATGCCATGCAGGTCCGCAGCTTCCCGGCTTGGATCTTGGAGGAGACTGGGCCAGGTATGCATGGCAAACGGGCTCCATTCCCCCAGCTGCAGCTGTGAGCTGCAGCTTCAGGTTGTGCCATTTTTCATCACACTGGGAACTGGGGGTAGGTGGGGGTAATGGAGGCACCAAGCTGCATGGACTCAGCCTGCCCCTCCCCAAGACCTAAGCCAGCAAGCTGGGGGAGGGGGCATTTCCTCTCCTCCTCCCCAGCTACTACTGACAGCCGCCAACTGGTGGGGGAGAGGGGCTGCTCTGGCTGCCTTCTGCAAGGCATGTGGGAGTGCTCTCAGTCTGGTGGCCGCGGCCAGCACAGCCTGCTTCCTCCTCTCCCTCCCCCCCTACACACACACCATGGGCTAATATCATTTCTGTCTGCTCCCACACTAATCTAAGCCACTTTGAGTAAAGTGTGATACTTAGAGTGCTTCCGTCTTGGATTTCTTGAACATCTGTACTTAGCCTAAATAATCAGAGCATGCTGTTACTGAAGTGTAGCTGACATACAATAAAGCCCTGTCCTCATATCATGAGTAAATTGTTCATATGCCCAGAGCCAAAGGGAGTTATTTACTCATGAAAATATACTACAAAATTTTGATCATAACTGAACACCTTAGAATCATTGCATTGCACTATAAATTACTAGCACCTTGGCATATAGCTTAGCCCAAATATATATAACATTTACAGATTTATAAATGGGAAATCCCTGTTTTTTTCCCTGGGTTTTAAATAGCATCCTATCCAAGGTTTGTTATGTCTCATGGCAGTGATTTCCAGGACTATCCAGATTGGCACAGAATAACAGCATAACAACATCTAAACCAGAATGAATTTGTTCTTTCTCTCACATACACACACACACACACGTGCACACACACTCACATCCCTCATCCAAACACCATCAATCAACAAGCTTTTAACAACTTTAATCTTCATACTCTTAGTGGACTCAGCTGCTGTAGCAGAAAATATCAGAGTTGACACTGAACTGTAACAAGTACAGTTCAAGGGCACTCAGCAATTGTTCTCTATCAAAATAGAAACATCAGGCAGCCAAGAGATGACTACCAAAAGGTATGCAGGCGTGCTGCCATGGACCGTGGACATGGACAATACTGGTTTCTGTAAGGGTCTGAACCAATGACAAAAGAATTCAACAGAAAGATGCCCTATTGACTTCAACGGGCAAGTTCATATTTCTTAACATGCATATTTTAGGCACATAGTCTTTCTAAGAAATACCGCTACTGAGACTGAAATAGGATTCTGTGAGGAACTTCCAATTACATTATTAAAATCAGCACCTAAAAATACTTCCATTTCCTTGAGTACTTGCCATTTATACAACAATCATTTCATTCAATGTTCTCCCAGGGCTTTAAGCATATTTAGCATTATATCCCACCTAAGAGGCAGGGCAGTGGTGTTCCATTTTACAGCTGAGTTCACAAATGCTCAAAGGAGACCATGTACAACATCACTGAAGTCAACAGGAGCTGTGGTATCCTATGGGCATCTCTAGAAACCAAGCAAGAAGGAACTAGTTCAACTGAAAGTAGGTTAATGCCAGTGTTAGGAAGGGAACCTGTGTATTCTTTCTCACTCCCATCCAGCCCCTGTTCTAACCACTTGGACATGGTCTTTTCTAGTTTGCAAAATATAGACTTAGAAGATGCACCACTGACTCTGTCCATCAAAAGGATGCTTTTCAAAGAGAACACCTTGTTGCTCATTCCAGTCTAACTCCATTGGCATTAATAGTGATGTTTGGAGCTGTAACAAAGATGGTCAACTGACCTTTCATACAACAGAGGCAGATGGTACAGTGCTAAGAATAATAGCAATGGCTGTCAGACAGTCTACACCAAATTTCCAATATTTCTTATGCTTGTGGAGCAAAACTAGAGTTAGAAACTGCTAGACATTTTCTTCTCTAGTGTCGAGGAGCTACTGAAGCTTGCTGTGAAGCATGCCATACTAACTCACTCTTACTTCATGGGCCTGCTCTCCAGAAAACAATCAGCATGACTAGCTGAGTGGTTCTGAGCATGTCCCCAGAGCCATTCTTAAACTCTCTGCCGTGACTGAGCTTCTCAGGGCTATAAGTTGCTTCAGCCCTGGCAGAGGGGGAATCAGCTAATGAGGTGAACTTCCCCGAAGAATTCCTGGGTGCAATAGGGAAGTAGCATGGACAAGTTCTTTGGAGACTTTTCTTCAGGAGCATAAACACGGGTAAGACTCCCCAGTGTTCAGAAGGCAGGCAGAGCAGGATCATAGAAGCAGAACTGGACCCCATGCAAAATGAAGTTTTAAAATCGTGGCCTTTTTCAAAATGGAAATAAATGCTTTTTTTTTGTACAATACTCAGTGCAATGGGTATTCTACCTAGCTAAGAAATGGAGAAACAAACTCACAGAGATCAAAGAGAAACTCATCAAGGATGATGCAGAGAGTCAGTGGCAGGGATGGGACCAGCATTTGAATGTCCCGACTCTCAGAATCTCGTTCTAATCACAGGTCCACAGTGATTACTGTTGGATTTATAGTTTTGCTCTGCAATTCAGCAAAATATTTAAGCACGTTCATTTTAAGCATGGAGATAGTACTACTGAGTTCCAGCATAAAAACATTACATTCAGTGAGATTACCAGCATACTTAAAATTAAGCAAGTGGTTAAAGCTATGTTCACACCAGGATTGCTTTACCAATAAAGAAATATTGGCAAAGTACTCCTAGAGTGAGTACAACTGTACCAGCAAAGCTGCACTTTGTACAAGTAGAACAAAACTACACCCCAGGAGCAAAACAAGGTATGCCAGTAAAACTTCCATTTTGCTGTTTAGGTTCCTGCTATCACACACTGCTTCACACTTCTGCACAGCACAGGGATCACACACCTCTTCACACTTCTGATCCACAGGCAGACATGCCAGCAAATGCCTGTAATGTAGAACCAGTTTGTGTGTAGTGAAATTAGACTCTTCGCCTAATTGCATTCTCCATCTGAATAGGTTATAATTGTGTGTTCTGGTCTGGGTTGGGGTGGCGTGCTGGGATATGGGAGCCCCTGGGTTAAAGTCCCTACTCCCACAGTCACTTAGTGTGCCTCACTTTCCCATTTGTAATATGAGGATACTAGCACTTCCCTACTTCACAGGTGTATTCTGAAAATAAGTGGGTCAACAACTGTGAAGTCTTCAGACATTATTGTAATGAGAATTGCAAAAACAAAAGTAGACTGCCTATACACAGATAGAACACAAATTTGTGTACTTATGTAAAACCTTTTGAAATGGAATGAGACACATCAGTGGTTTCCAACCTTTTCAGACGTGAGGCACCCCTTGGAAAATGCCAGCTCTTAATTTTCACTTGTTTTTTGACTACAGAAAAATACTGGAGCAAATCTTTTGTTGCAAAGAGCCCAGAAAGATCACAACAGGTCAGAATGCTTTTAAAACTATGGATTCCTACTTGAAGTCTCTGCAATTATCTTGTGAATCATGTATGCACACCTACCAGTGCTAACACAGTGTATCACCCTTGAAAGAATCTCAAGGCACCCCAGTATGCTATAGCACTCTCGCTAAGGATCAGCAAGCTATATCAATGTAAGAATTTGTTCATATATAATCTTGGGATATTCAATCTAGACTGTGTATATGGAAATAAAATGACAGTTGTAATTTATGACAATGGCTTCACAGCTTGTCTCCCAGCAGCTCACATGAACTGCCCACCCCCCACAACAAGATACCCACTGATAGATCTAGAGAAAGAAAAGCATACTGTAAATCAGACTGAAAATGTTTGCCCTCAAACAACCACATTCATCTGTATGTCTATATTTAGATGAAGGGGAGGAAGAGAGAGAGAGAGAGAGGTTTCAGTGACCAGTTCAGATAATGTACTTATGAAGCTATCTGTGGCATTCTTACATTGTACCTATGACACTATGGAATTTATTGGAAAGCGTTTATCAGTTAAATGTCAGCAGCTGTGTGCCTCTAAATGGAACATACTTCAGCTCCTGGGCAATGGCAGCGATCTGTTCCACTCGATCCTGGTGGGCAGCCAGGTCGCTCTCAAAAGCTTCATGTTTCCTCAGCAAAGCCCGGAGCTCGGTCAGCGAAGCTGATTCATAATCCTTCTGCAGTAGGATCTGCTCTTTGCCTACAAATAACATAGAAGGAGCAGTCACTTGCTCACTTGCTCCTAATTCATTACTACAATGTCCATAAATTGAGGTGCAGCTGCTCTGATCCAAAATCCAGCACTGGTGAAATCCTGGCCCTACCAAGATCGGTGACAAAACTGCTTTTGCTGCTGAGAGTGATGGTGTTTAGGAGTGTGATTTTTAGGGGTGACCCTCTATTCCTGCAAAAGCCTTGCACAGACCCATTATACTAGCACAAGAGTGTTCTTGTTGGGGTAGCTTACTTCCCTCATTAAAGTGGTATAAATAAATCTTACTAGGAAAAGCTCTTTTTTGTTGGTGTAAGCTGCATCTATAGTAGTTATGCAAGCAAACCTTTTCTCAGTGTTGACCTGGCTTATGAAACCAGACACCAGATCTCTATATTCAAAACAAGTCTTAGTAATAAATCCATTAATCTCTGTCAAACTCAGGTCCCAAACCCCCAAAATCTCCAAAAATGACTGAGACATGTGGCTGCCTTTTTAAATGCTGTTGATTTTTAAAGTGAAAATACAGAAAACTTACTGACCTCTCTGAATTAGCCTCCTTTTACAATATGCTAATCCATAGAGTCAAAGATTTTTAAGACCAAAAGAGAATCATTATTTTGCTTGTATATATGCTCCTGTATCTGTGTGTAAATTTCCCTTGGACCAGAGTCACAGTCTGTGGTCACCGGTAGTATATTTTCATTAAGTAGGCTTTTAGGACTTCTACGTAGCATTTCTCTTCTGGTATTTCCTTGGTAGTCATTTATTGACTTGTATGTTTCTAACAACTACACGTGGTCCACTCAGGCAGTATGACTAAATTCTGTTTGGAAAGAGCCAGCAAAGGCTGTGTGCAAGGGATGAAGGGCATGCTGGGCGCAAGTAATGGAGGCAGTTGTGTATGATAGAGGCTATTACACAGATACTCTAGTGTTGTAAGGTCCCTAATCAACCTCATGCCAGCTCTGAAAGCTAGCACAGCCCCCTAAGAGTTCTAAGGTGAGCCTGGGCCAGTACTGGGACAGAGAACTATAACCTGGGAACTTGAGCTCAGGATAGGATTGAGCATCTGATCATGTAAATTGACATAATACTTATATCCAGCTGTTGTGATGATCCAGCAATACTCAAATGCTGAATTACTTAGCTAGAAGTTTGACACTGAACTGATTAAAAGTCTTCAACTGAATTTTACATAAAGGCTTGAATTTGGGAATTGAAAATCTCTGGGACAAGGATTAAATAAGAAAAGAATTGAATGTGTAAAATCTCTATTCATGGGGCAATATTTTGGCTGGCTGTGAGCAGCCATGATCTTAAAAAGCCCAGAGAAAGAGCCAGGCTGTTTTCCCTTTCTTCTTTTGTTCAGTTTAGCTTTGCTTTTGGGACTTTGGCTCAAGCATGGCCTGGATGTAGTTCTGTTTGGCCCTTAAAGTAGAAGACTGACTTTGTCCTTCCTGATGTTCAATGGACCTCATGTTGCTGTTAACTAAAATTGTACCTAGAACCTTCCTGGACTCACTGCAGCCCTGACTGACTTGTCACAAGCCCAGGCTGCAAACAACAAGAGAGACTGGGCACCAGCAACAAATCATGAGGTGATCTCTATAAAAATACCAGGTAAGAATATTAAAGTGGAAGTAATTAGCACACTCCAGCAGCCTCAGTGTCATGTGTATTCAGCATCCCCACACTTCAAAATAGTGGCAGGGGTGCTTTAACTAAAGGTCATCAAACAAGGTTTAGTTAAAGTGCCCCTGCCACCATTTTGAAGTGTGAGACACTGAATACATGAGACACTGCGGGTGCTTTAATTAAAGTGGGTCCCGAGAGCCACTTTATTAAAGTGCCCCCTCTCCCCGCACCTGAGTATGTGTAAAGACTTTCTTTAGTTTTCCATTAGACACTCAGCCAATGTAACTGAACGGTAAATTTAATTAACTTCATGTCCTATGAGTTAAAATGATGACTGTAGGGCAGAAAGCGCAAAGCTTTTGGGGTCATCATTGTTAAATTGAGGTTTGGAAAACTACCCAAATAACTTCCCAGTTAATTTTTGCTTGGCAAATACCCAGCAATTTTAGATCTATCTGAAACACTTTAAGCCAGGTCTACTTACCATATGCCCAAGTTTCATGAGTAGAAGCTTTCTGTCTAAATTTCTCAGCCAAGTGTTCAAGTCGTTCCAGCCTTCGTATTTCATTCAGCAACCATTCTTCATAGCCCTTCTCAGCCTGTTCAAGTCTTTGCCAAGCACCAGCAATATCCTGTAAAATGTTGGAGGGAGGGAGGAAGGAAATTTTTCATTTTTACCTTGCATCTCACATGTCTTTACCCAAAGTCACAGACCACGCAAGACTTTAATATGTTGCTCTCAGAATGGAAATGTATGTCCAAAATGTAAATGATAGGCCCCCAAAACCAGGCCAGCAAAATCTGTACAAATGGGTGCAAAAAACTGTTGCTCAGGAAAAAAGGACTGCATGCTGTCATCTGTTTAATTCTTGCACGTATATTTTACATTATATTTTACACCTTGCCCTTCTACTGCAGATAATTCAGAGTGTCCTCAAAGTAGGTGTTCATTATCAAAACAAAAATGCCTTGCTTGTAGAAGCTGACAGTGACAAAACAATCAATTTGCACGTTTTCATGTTGCTGTTATCTAAACAATGTACAGTATGTATTGTGCTGACAGCTAAGAAAATACTGTATGCATGTGTGTGCACATGCATGAAAAGAATATTTTGTGAGCCCTTAGAGAACTACAGACACCAAAACTAAGCTATGCTGGCAATCTCAGGGGGGAGGCAGTGGAGGGGTATGGGAAAGCTAGGCATACTTTTAAGCAATGTTCATAAAACTTGAAACATCAGATTAAGTGCAGTATAAAAATCTGCTATATTCATCAGCTAATATACTGGAAACTCATGACTTATCAGGAGATGAGAATTCTTTCTAGAAACTGTTCTTGTCTCCAAAGTTTAGGAACAAGGACCAATTTGATGAAGAATGCTGAAAAATACAGAAAAAAACTAATGTATGGGAACTACAACAAATCAACAGATGCCTTCCTTCAAACAGATCACTGAATTTAGCTTTGTTAATGTTAATATTCAGATATCCCTGACCATCCCAATAGCAACAACAAAAGAATATGGGCCTCTGGTTTAACTTACTGAAACCATTTTCCCCTCTGATGGCATGAAGGCCGGCCTATTGCTGATCCTCAGTTTTGTCTGTAAGGTGTTGAAGTTGATCTCCAGCTGACATTTTTCCTGGACTTTGGGAGGCTTGTGCTTGCGACGATAGTCTCGGAAGTCCTCTAGTTTCTTCTGCATGGCCTGCATGGTTTTCTCGGGGGTCCTGTTTTCCAGCCAAGGGATTGTGCGACGAATCCATTCTAAGAGCTGTCAAACCCATGCAAACAATTAGAACCCAAAAGACAAACAAAACCAAAAAGCCTGAATGTACAAACCCCATTGGCCTTTATCCCTACCACGTTATTCTTGCCAAAAACAATTATTTCATGGCAGCAAAGCAAAAGATTTTTAGAAGTGACTAGTCATTTTGGCTACTTTTCTTAAGGAAAAAAATTATCTTAATATTTTCGGTTTAAGGGGAAGAAACTTTTCAAACTAAAACAAACAATGCATTCAAGATGTGTGCCAGAAGTTCTTTTATTGTCCCAACGTAGAAATCCTCAAAGGTCTGTCTATCCCGCATGCTTACATGGTATGTTACTATAACATCTGATCACTTTACAACCCTTTTAACATACTTCCTCTCACAACACTCCTGTGAGTTGTGCTTGCTAACATCCTTATTTTACAGTAGCAGAACTATCTGAGACACAGATATTCTTGCAAAGGGCATACAGGAAGTCCATAACACAGCAGGGATTTGAACCTACATCTCCCAAATCCTAAGCTAGTGCCCTATTAAGTAAACTTCCCTCTTTGAAGGCCGCCTTTGCAATACTTTAACAGTGATCTGTTACAAATCATTCAATGAACATACGGTCACCTATGTTTCATGAACATAATACCCATGTGTTATGAAGACAGTTTTCCTTACCTCACTTGCTAGCCGTTCATACTCTTCCATCAATCTTTCATTTTCTTGATTCACAGCAAGTACCTTGCATATCCGATTAGCTGCAGTCTCGGCCTGTAAAACACAACAAATAAACAGAACATGTCTGCCGCCACATTTACCATAGGGTTTCTAGTCTCGATCACAAACGGATACAAAATTGGAGTAAGACGAATGTGACTGCTGCAAATAAATAATGCAGTGCTTATTGTTGTACCACTTTATTCTTCTCAGAATTAACGGGACAGCTTTGTCACTTCGACACCCTGTGCAACTCCATTGCCTGCAACAAGGTGAGCAGGGAGCAAGTACCTATAGAATTTGTTCTAGATGGGGAAGTTTATAATGCGACACATAGTTTCACACTATAATTAACAAGTAATTAATAACTTACTTACACAGAGGTTTAGATCATTGTGCATGTTAAATTATTAGGTTAAAAAAATCACGCTAGAATATTATTAGGTCTGTTAGCGATACTGGAAAACAGCCCCAAATACTTTACAAGGCCCAATTCACTCAGTCTGTGGAAGAACCTGAATATGCATAGATGCTCAATGTCTACCTTTTTATGCAAGTTAAATCTGGAGTAACTCCACTGGAGTCAAAGGAACACTGTATTTATTTAAGTGTACGTGGCAGCTGATTGCTATACCAGAGATCCTAATCCTGTATGGAACAGGAGTTTAGATACCATTATGGCATCATAACTCTAGACTCCCCAGAGTCTGGGTTGGTGTGCTGATGCTACTATTCATCATTCCAACAGTGATTATTTCCTCTGTTTACCTCATCTTCCCACAATTGTATTTACTTTATCTATTGCTTGCGTCAACACCAGTATAGATTATTAAACCTATTAATATATTTTTATTATATGTGCATAAAACACATAGTACAAAGGGTACTAATTCACTATCATGCCCTGTAGACACTACTAAAATAAATTTTACTCCTTTATTTTGGCCTTTTAATTGAAAAAAATGGTTTTGAAGAACAAACAAAACATGAAAACTGGGTAAAAAGAAAAACCCTGGAGTGGTTTTGAGTTAGTGCTTCCTTTTCATGTGGCTACTTTTTCTTCCTGGATAAATTAACACAGGGGATGTACCTCAGCTATGCAAAGAAGAACCTATGCATGCCTTAGTAAGGTGATGCTAGCACCACCTGGTGATGCTGTAATAAACCAGGATATAATTATCAGGCTGAAAGGAAAAGTTACCCCCTAAATTGAGAAGGAAAGAAACATCAGCTATCGGCTGTCATAAAACATTTTTCAGCAAAATGGCTTACGTCTGTTTCTGATTTAGAAGTATATGAAGCAATGTAGGGGGAAATGACCTGGTTATAATTAAAAGGGATCCATATGGCCAGCATGCTGATGACATTCTTCTATTCTTACTCAGGCGGAATAGCACTTTCTTCCATAAATGATCCCATTGGTGTCAAAGGGACTCAGGCATCTCAGTACTGCTGAAAATTCCACTAAGTGTATCAGCCTTTTGACATATTGAAATAGATTTTCAAGTACCTTTCTCTCTATCTTGATTAAATGAAAACAACCTTTTTGAAATACCTAAATAAAGACATTCACAACTGAGATGGTGCTAGAAAGATGGGAATGCTTATTTGAATTAAAAAAAGGGGAGAAAAAAAAAAAGATCAAACTTGCTACAGAACATTTAGCTGAGTCAGATTCAAGTGTGGGTTACAAACAAGCATTTGTGCTCAGACAATACTTGCAAACATTAATACAAACCGCAAAGACCTAAATTATGTGAAACACTCATGGACTTCAGAAATAGCAAACCAAAAAGCCCAGCAACACAAAGGGACAGTTGATTAATACCTGCTCTGCTCCAGCAAAAGCATGGTAGAAGCAGGAGACATAAGTCATGATAGCTCTCTCATCAGGTTTGGGAGTGTTCACAATATCTATAGTGAGGAGGGAGAAATAAAAACAAAACAAAAAATCGAGGAGTAGAAAACAAGGTGAACAAAAGAACACGCAATATGCTTGTTATCCTGCCTTGCAGTTCTTGTTTTTTGTATTAAGCCAGTGTTTGCCCAATGCTCTGTAGTTCAGAAACTATTCAAAGATGGAATAAATCATCTGTTAGATCTACTGGTGCTGGCAGAAAAAAAAAATAAATTAGTACATTAAAACTCAAACTGAAATTACATAAACAGAGAGAGGAAATGTTTTCACATCAATGTTTTCATCAGGACTGGATCCTGCACACATATTGCTATCATTACTACTCAGAGGAGTAATGACGTTAAATTTAACTGCACAATCTGTCTGCATAAGAATTCCTCACATGTTAGAGGAATGATCATGTTAGAGGAGTTAGAGTTGCAGGATCAGGTTCATATTTATCTACTTATAATGTGACCTGTCAGCTAAGGTGTGTAAGAAGTGGGTTTACATAGCCCACTAAATTTTAGCTGTTTTGACCCCAGAAGAACTGCCCTAGAAGACAACTGTTATTTTTTAATACTATGTATCAGCCCACTACTGGTAATGGCATTTGCGTTGTGTAGAATTCTATAATTATTTTTACTCTTTTCACTATGATACCAATCCATATTCCAAAAAGTCTATATGTGATTTTTGTGTCTACAAGCATTTTATGTTTCTACACATTTGTACTTACCATAAAATGTTAACTCTTAAAAATTCCAGAGAGCTTAAGAAAAGGATTCATGTTCTGAGCTTCTGTTATGATTTGACAACAGTAGCATGAATAATATCCAGCAGAGGAAAAAAAAGCAACTGAATTGTTTTGGAGATATCTATTTCCCTGTGAGTTTGTTATTTTTATTTTGCTTTTTAAAATTGGTCCAAGTCAATACACAGTTTCAACTGGAGACAAGTATGTCTACTATCCAGTTCATCAACCAACTAAGGATGCCCCTGTTGGATATTATTGGTAAATATACAGAATAAAGAGAGAAAGGTATGATTCTAGCGAACAAACAACTGGCTATATGGCTACCAACTATAGAAAGACAGGAGCTCACAAAGAAAATGAGGCAACAGAAAATGAGGGTCTTGCTCAGCTCTAAAAGGCTCCTCAAGGAGCTAGTGGGGAAAAGATCAGAAGGGTAAAGCTGCCAATAACCCCACAGAAAGTGAAAGGTGAGATCTGATCCATCTTCTACAACCTCACCTTCTGAGCCCCAGCAAATGCATGGTAGTAACAGGAAACATAAGTCATAATGGCTCTTTCATCTGGTCTGGCAGTGTTTACTACATCTGTGTAGAAAGAAGAAGAGTGGTTAACCACTCAGTCCAATGACAATATCATTCCAGAAGATGATGATGTCATTTCACATGCTGAATTAAAAAGAAATTCATCATTATTCAGCTTGTTTCCTTTTCCTGATGTCCTCTGGCGCTCAGGCTTTAAGAACTGACACATAAAACAGTATCAATTTCTCTATGTGAAATGCTAAAATACCTGACTCAGCAGAGTGTACAGAACAGCACTGCCATGTTGTGCAGCTTTGTTGGAGATCCAAGCCTTCAAAAGGTGCAGGCAAGGTTGCCAGATCTAAAGTCAAACCTATTGGAATCATTTTTGTTTTTGTTTTGCATCAGTGTGAAGCCAGAGTAACTTCACATGAGGTACTAGACTTGCTTCAGAGTTAACCCTAATGCACTGATATGACATAGAGGTACATGTGAAGCATGTTAACATAGCATCCTTCTGTACTATGTGCCCTGCTCTTGCATTCCTATGAATAGACAGGATACTGATATGCATCAGACACCTGCATAACATGAATATGTGAGCTACTGCAACCCAGAACAAATCTACCAGCTCTTGAGTCATACTGTATTCTCAGTAAATATTGTCTTAAATTATTGCAGAGTTTAACCCTTTGACTGTATTCTCAGTAAATATTGTCTTAAATTATTGCAGAGTTTGACCCTTTGACTTGAAAGCCTGATGGGTTTGTCACCACTATGAGAATACGTCATTAAAACTATGGTTAGGATATGCTTGAAGTTTGGATCCATTGATAATGATGGTCCTTTTAGCCCTCTGTAACCGATATGGCAGAAGATCATTGGTTATTAGTGTAGAGGGTTTTGAGTGTCATTAGCATTAACTGCAAACAATCGCCATGCACATGCAAGGCCATTGTAAGAGTGGGATAATAATGATGTGAAAAGATCAAAAGAAAAAATTACAATTTTAATATTCATTTGAAGTTTTTCTACCATAATAATCAATTAATCTAAAAATTGAGCATATTAAATTATAAAATTTAATTAAAAATGGATGGCACACATATCAGCAGATTCACATATTCATAATCAGTTCACTTTTTTTTCTCTCTCTCTCTCAAGGTATAGAAGAGGATATGAGATACAATATTTAAAGAAGTTAAACAAAGTTTCTCAAATTGCATATGAAGAGAAACCACAGAGAGAGTTACATCTATGAAAAAGAGATGGTAGATGCATACAATTTTATAGTAAAAAGAATCTACTGTTTTTTAAAACAAATCATATTACCAGGCAAAGAGACAATGGATTTTGAAGCATGACAGCAATGCTAAAAACACTCTTCACTGAAGTGATTGCAGGTTGGATTTCCTAACACTTGCTTAATTCAATTCCTATTGATTTCAATAGCAGCAGACAGGCCAAGGCTGAGCACTTCAGATAATTCTATCCATTAATGCTGATCACCTGACAAGGCACCCAATCAGAATTAATGTGCTTAAAGAAGTACACTTGAACCAGCCTAAAAAATTCTTATCTTTTGGTGTTACTCACACCTGAAATACAGCAGATCGCATACTTCCACAAAGCTCTATGCAAGTCTCTTAACATCGTATTAATATTATCTGTAGAAAGATTCTATAGAGCATTTTAAAGGGAGGATTGAATATGGAACTATTCATTAAAACTCACCATTATACAAATATTAAAATAATATAAAAAGAAAACACTAATTTTCTAAGTCTCTGGTGTGGGATGCCAAATGCTAACTGTACATTTGGAAAGGAGTATATGAATTATCTTTCTAAAAGCTCAATCCCAGCATCAAGCAATGTTGCTACGTTTTAAAACTGTGAGTATCCTTGAATTACTTGCATTAAATTTTAAACACTTAAAGAAATGGGATTATCTTTTCATTCTGTATGTGCATAGGTCATACCACCTGAGGAGCATACTTTTTGATTAGGGATCAAGGAGGTTGCTGCAATGTAAATAAGAGAGGATAATTTTATTATTAACAAATTAAAAAGTATGAGGTTCTCTAGCACTCAGGAATCAAGATGCAAGAGATCATTTTAAAAAAAGAAGCATCAGAAAGAGGTTAAGTTTAAAGTACTGTCTGAAGAATTGTTTTATTTATCTGTTTTCAAGACTTGTTTTTATTTTAAGGCACCCTGAACCTTTTTAGGAAGGGTAGCCTGGAAGTCAACTGAATAAACATACATACATGTGATGATTCATGTATAAACAATTATGAAAATTTGTCATGCCAAGGGTAATACATGTTTTGCTGCCTACCTCTCATTAAAATACATTAAAGATGATAGCTCTCACCTTCTGCATCCAACATCTTAGGGATATCCAAATGTTTTTCTGCAATTTCCATTGCAAGATTTATATTTCCTAGAGGGTCATCCTGCACAAAAGAAGAAAGTATAACCAGTTAAGCAACAGAGGCTTTTCTTGAAGCAATAATAATACAGTAAGTATACTGAAAATTATTCTGTTTGATCCAAGAAAAGGGATTTTCCTCAACTAGACACTTGAGTCAAAACTATTATTCTTCAAAATCTCTCTATATGCAGCATCTGTGTAAATCAGAGCCATCCAACTCATGGCCTGTGGGCCCCTGTGGCCACCTCTCCTACTGCTATGCAGTGGGGCAGGACCCAAGAGAAATGCAGGGCTGCATGCTGCCCGTACAGCTTGAATAGCGGGAGGTGGGGGGGAGAAGGGATCCTGGGACCCTGCCCCTCCAGCATACAGCCTATATAGTGTGCAGTCCCCTTCCCATCTCCTCTAAGTTGGAGAACCCTGATCTAAATTGATCTGTCAAATCAATCTCACGCTACATTTTTAAGTGCAAATATTCATAACCTACTAGGTGCCATTAGGAGCATGCTGCAGATTTGTTCTGGGGTAGATTATTTAATATAGACAAATAGATCTCTGTATGTATGTATAGATATACTTATATGTATATAGCATACATAGGACAAAAGCTGAGTTCCACCATGTCTCCCTCAGCCAAATACACTTTTTGGAGTCTTGCATGGCATTTCTCCATAATCAGGTGAAACTCAATTGTAACAGATTGTAAAATGATTTGGACCTTTTTTGAATAATTTTTAAGCATGCACACTAGGGCAGAATTAGTGGTGTAAGGCATAAGAGAAGATGCAGAGGAAATGCAGATGTCTCAGTAGAGTCATACCAAGAGATAAGGTGAAGCAGAATTTTGTTTCATGATTTAACCATCTCTGCTGGGAAGCTGAAGTTAGTCCTCACTGGGCACGTCTACATGTGATGCTACTTCCGCATAGCAATGCACTACAGCAACATAGTTTGTCGCTATGGAGACATAGCATCAGCAGGCACAAACTGTGACACCAATGCTATGTAGTGATGAGCTACTTCATTATAGTGTGTTGCTACAGTGACGTAATGTCTAAAAATAGCCATGCACTGTCGGGACGGGGCAGTAACAGCTGTTATTGCGCCGTCCTTTAGTACTTCCAAAAGAAAGTACTAAATGACGGTGCAGTAACAACGGTGCCATGGGGGCACATGTAGATGTGCCCACTGTATCATATTACAGGTGGTGATCGTGTAAGAAATTCCTAATGTCCCTAATTCCTAAAATGTGTTGAATTGGTGTGAGGCCACATCCAAACTGCTTCTCTCTTGATCCAGATCCACTAATGAAGAAATAAGTGCCTGCCTAATTGTAGGTCTGGAGTTGTCAGGTGGGTAGGTGGGTCTGATTTCTTTGACAGTGAATCTGGGTTCAGGAGAGAATCATTAAAGGCATAGCCTTAAGTCTCCCAAACTCATGAGAGGTCTTGGTGCCTGAAAAATGTCTTATGGGTATTCTCAAATGAGAGAAGAACTTCTCTTCAGAACAGACTTGGGATCTCCCAGTAGGTAAAATGATTTTTTGTAAGGAACTTCTTCATTTCACATTGGGATACAAGTACTGGCCTACAGTGGGAGCTTGTCTCATGGGCGTTTTTTTATGGCACTAGTGAAAATAATGAGATTTAACTGACAGTGATTATTCCAAGTTTCATGGAAGCTTGTACTTCATACACATAATGGATATGAAGTGTCAATTTTCTGTGAATTATTCAGACAAAAGTAATATCACGACTAGCACCTATTTCTAATGAATGGAGCTTGCTAGTTCTTTTTTTTTTTTTTTAAGAAATATTATCAGGAAAGTTAGTTATGAAAAACAGTTTGAATTCATAAGACCTAATGATCTGGGTTCAGTTGAACTTATTTTTATAAGTCACATCTTTATCATCAATGTTACCATCAAATGCATTTCATTAGCAATTTATATTCTATACAGCATTGTCGTTTAAAAAAGCCTTAACATTGTGCACAATAGTTAAAACCCATGACTTTATTATCAACTATATATTTATGTATATGCCACTGTGCGTATAAAGCATGTACAGATAACATAGGCAACAACTTGTTGTGGAAAGTGAATATATAGCTATTCCTAGACTAAATCTAAGCAAGACTAATTGACTAATTTAAGACACTGTTGATGAAAGATGGGCAACTCCCGTGTGGATTAGTCAATGATTAAACAACGCTTAACTGGAGGAAGATTTGCTTAAAATGAAGCTGGGAGACCTCAACCACCCATTCCTTCAAAAAATAAAAAGTATCTCTATTACTACAGCAGCAATACCTTGTATAACTTGCCATAATCAAAAAGATCAGGCCTTTGTCTATGGATAAAGGCATTGAGACCAAGGCCATCCTTCCAGCTACAAGTCCACACAAAAGGTAGATTGGCAAGAAAAAAACACATGCAACAGAAACAGATATCATGCCAAAAGAAAGACATCAAGCCAGTTGTTAATACACGCAAAACAAGTAGTCAGTCAAACACAGCAAGAAAAGGATATTAGGATCTTCCTGAACATGGTCTACAGGGTGCAGCTCCAGTCACTGTTTGAAATCTGACCCATTTTCATTTGGGAATTTCTGAGAGAAACACTTTTGCTGAGTCACATTTGTTTGTGTTCTGTTCTTTCGCCACATATAAGTAGGGTGATTTTACTAGGAAGGTACTCTATATCATGGGCCAAGTTCTCAATAGGCCTTCAAAACTGTTAGCCTTTGTTTATGTCATGGCTAAGTACATTTTCAAACATGAACAGCTGGCCTGAGTACTTCAGTGAGTATGTATGTTCACAGAAGTGTGGCTGATATTTTGCCCTGTTGATTTAGATTTGTATTACTAATTGTATTGGAACTGTGTGGCAAATGATGTGAAGAACGGTGAGGGTATGGATTAGCGTACTTTTTAACCACGTCAAGAGGGGGGACAGCTGCCACTTAGGAGTGTGCATCATTTGCTAAATTGCAATTATTCCAAATCAAATAGCTGGAATTCGGTAGTATTGAACAAATTAAGACCATGATGAACATTTTACCTGGCTGGTATTGGAGGGTATGTCAAGACAGTCTTATTTCAGAGGACAGGAAATTGTCCAAAGGAGAAACTACAATATTTCACTTTTTCTTCTAGCACTATTCATGTGCCACTACCTGCAGCAAATCTGAGACTTGTGCTTACCTACATTCCCAAGAGCCACCAGTGTCCCAGACCTGATAGCTGAGATCATTACTATTTTTTCTCTTTCCTTCCTTTTGTACAATTTCAAAACCAGTAAAATTACCAGTTTCTGCCACAGTCTGATCAAGCCATCTGGGCCCTCTACATTCTGTTTTGTGATACTATTAAGCTCTCCATGTTTTGAGACCCAGTGATGTTAGGGTACTTGTTTTGTCTGGACTTGTAGGGATATGGGTGAAATTTTGATAGAAAATTTCTATCAATGAATATTGCTTCATACCTTTTGATTTCTAGGTCTAGTTATTTCCCAAAAGCAATATTTACTCTAAAGAAACTTCCAACATAACCATGGGCCTGATTCTTGACTGTTCTGCAGTTTGCACAGTCATTTTCACCACTGAAAAGAGGGTGTAGAACGTTATCATCAATGTGACTGGAAAACGCCAGTTCATTAGAAAATTGATACCTACTTTGCACTGATGTAAAGGAGCGCACAAGTTGCCTACTTGCAGAGGATCAAGCCAAGCATATGTTATAATAAAAATAATCAATTGACTGCATTTTTATCATTGTACACCCTCGGAGGCTACAGTATAACTTTTTAATAATCATAATCTTGACGAATGCGTGCATGTGTTAATGGGGAGAGTGGTTTCCTTGTTTCCTCAAGATCAGTTTTGGCAGGAGGTTGCAAGGCCAGTCAAAGTTAGTAAGTACACCTCAGCTCATCCTTCAGGGAACATGCTAAGCAAACAGGAAGTGAACCAGATCGCTGCAGGACAGCATGCTCTGCCACCCAGACTGAGGACCTTATTTAGCTTGGAGTAGTCAATAAGATCAGGTCGGTGTCTGTGGATAAGTGCACATAATCCAAGGCCATCTTTCCAGCTTTGCAACAATAGGAAAATAAAATGGAAAAATAAGTTAATACAATCATGACATTTTACAGTTTGCAGTTTGCTCAAGGCTTAGATGTATGCTCCTCTGGTATATCCAGGTAATGATGTCTCCTCACAGCAGGGCAATTATTAAGCTGTGTATTAACTCTTCTTCAGTCTTTGTATTCCTGATCATGCTATTGGCAGACAAGGTTCTTTGAGTAAATATGATATCTTTTATTAGACCAACTAAATAGTTGGAAAAATTGTCCTTTGCAAGCTTTCAGGCACAAACACAAGCCTAAAAGCTTGCAAAGAACAACTTTTTCAACAATTTACTTGGTATAATAAAAGATATCACATTTACCCAAAAAACCTTGTCTGCCTATGTCCTTAGACCAACATGGCTACAACCAATGTGCCATATCATGTTCTTGGCCTTTATACAGTATAATACTATGCAAAAAAGCTCTGAGGTGACTCTATTTGATGCCCTGGGACAAAACAGAGTTGTTTGTCTTTCAGGTGCTAAGCATAATCTCTCATTACCTAAATGGAAGTACATGTTCATAATGACAATGAAAGAATGAAGTCTGGATGAGACTTCCAAGAGATCTTATTCAACCAAGGAATTTTTCCAGTGTCATCAATAAGATAAAATTATAATATCATAAATATATTTTTCATAAAGGAATGTACGGTCATGATGGAAAACAGACTTAATTTATTTATATACACTATATATAAGATGGATCTTATCCTGAAATCTGCTCAGCACACCTGCACTTCCTACTGACAACACTACAAGTTTCATAGATTTCATAGACATTAGGGCTGGAAGGGACCTCAGGAGATTATCAAGTCCAGCCCCCTGCCCCAGGGGAAGTAAGTCAGCCAGGGTCAAAGGATCCCAACAAGATAAATGTTCAAATGTCTCTTAAAGGAGTCCAGAATAGGTGCTTGCACCACCTCTGGCAGCAGTCTGTTCCAGGCCTTGGGGACTCGGACAGTAAAGAAGTTCTTCCTTATGTCCAGCCTGAAACGATTTTGGAGGAGTTTGTGACCATTGGACCTTGTCATCCCTTGGAGCGCTCTGGTGAACAGGTGTTCCCCCAGATCCTGATGTACACCCCTTATGTACTTATAGGCAGCCACCAGATCACCCCTGAGTCTGTACTTTTTCAGGCTGAACAGTCCCATGGCTCTCAGCCTCCCATCATAAGTCCTGTTCTCCTGCCCTCTGATCATGCACGTGGCTCTCCTCTGGACTCTCTCAAGCTTCTCCACATCCTTTTTTAAATTGTGGAGCCTAGAATTGGATGCAGTACTCCAGCTGCAGCCTCACCAAGGCAGAGTACAGTGGGAGGATGACGTCCTGAGAAATTTCAGATGCTCCGTACACCTCAGAATCAGAACTGACAACACTGACTCTGGAGACAATCTTTACAAATGGAGCCATTATAAATCTGCCTTTTGAGAACCTTTCAGAGCTAATTTACAACCATAAGTTCTGGGCCTGAAAAATACCTATTGCAGCTGAGATGATACCAGAAGCCACGGGGCAGGTGAAGAGTACAAAATCACCATGCACAAGCAAGAGACAATTCTTAAATAAAAAATTAATGCAATTGCTAAAATACTTTCTGTTACTCAAAAGTCAAAATCCAATGAACCTAAGAGTTCTGTGACCCTATGAATCCAGTGACCCTAAGTATCAAACTATGATAAAAACATATTCTCTATGCAGTAACATACAGTATACAACAATAAAAACCCTTTAGGACATAGGATCAGAAGCAAGAACTGAAGAAAACATATCCTCTGCTTTGAATGCAAATGTAAATCAGGGCTCTGGAGGAATGGGGAGGGTTGTTTATTCTCTACAGAGTATGAAAGACAAAATATGCAAATTTAAAACATTAAGGTTTTGATCCTATGGATGGCTGCCCATGTCTGCATGATGCTCTACTGAAATCAGCTGTTATCTATTCCTGCAGAATACACCATATCAAATTCCGATTCATTTAAAGCAACAGAATAAATAAATTAATACATGTTATTTGTTCTAAAATATTTATAAACTGTAGGTCTCTGTATGAATTATATGAAGACCAAGGCAATGGAAACTAAGATGGAATAGCCCTTTAATAAGGAATCTGATTACAACTACATTGCTCTTTGAGCAGAACTCATTCCAGGGTTCATGTGTTGGTGAGCCAGATCATCTGAATAGCCAAGGCCACAATTGATGTGAAGCTGCTAATATAAGCAACGTGCCTGTGACCTGGAAGTCAGAGGCAGATTTTCATTAAAGAAACAAAAAACGGCTGAGCCGTCCCTTCTGTCTCCAATTCAAGTAATGCTAATGAACTTGATTCCAGTATTGGATTTGTTTGAAGTGTTTTGCTTTTCTTTTGAGCTACATTTTCAGCACTTTGTGAAAGTTATTAACATAATGTCAGACTGAACAAATAAGGGTGATTCCACCATAATGGAATAAGTGTTGATAGTATTACATGCATTAAACTGGAATTTGGCCCCTAAGGTTCTAATAATGACATTCAGAGGCTGCCGTTAGAAAGTCAGGAGTGTTCCTGGAATAGAAGCCATTCATCCAATACCATTGTGTGGTCACTTTGGACAAATGCTGATTTTTATATAGTAACTATGGAAACAAGCTAAGAGCATTTTGCCCCAAACACCAAGTTATATTAAAAATGCAATTGTGCTAACAAAACTAATACTATGAGGGTGCAACAGAAGAGGACAGAAAAAGTCTTGGTTCATGGGTTATGGTCAAATTATGCTTTCGCTTACAGTTGTACAAAACTGTGAACAAAATCTGACTCAAAGCATGTTAGTTGATCAAACCCCATGGGATTTTACCTGAGGTGGAAGTTCTGAATGTTCACATTTCTGTAAGGAGCAGTTTTCCTTTGACACCACAGCAGCAGCCCTTCTTTAGCAGAGGTCTCTATACAGGACACCAGAGAGAAAACAGGAGACTGAAAAGGAGCCCAGACCATTTCCTAGCATTTTAAGTTCACAACCTAGAATTCATTAATATCTGTCATTTATCCAGGGGGCTGCACAAAATACGTTGGAGGTTTCAATCCATTTCCAAGTAGACAAGTATGCCTGCCACAGAACACAATGGCAACAGAACAGTTTGCAGCTTTGTTGACAGGCTCAACATGAGGCAAGGGCTGAATGGACCACAAAGGCTGAATGACTTCTGACTCTACAGCTGGTTCTCTTAGGTCCAGCCTATAATTCATGCACAAAAGTCTAGCACCTTTTGCATATTCAGAACTGATTTAAAGAGAGATATATGGTTAGTAAGGAAGGAAATATACCTATTCAGATGAGATTTGCAAAGAAGTGAAGAGATATAGGTATTTGTTCCAGAAGGCAGGAAGTGTAAAAGCTGGCAAGATAATGGGGAAATGGCAGAAGCAGGGTAGATGGAAGTGAGGGTGGATCCAGAAGAGAGCGGGGAGGGGTTTGATGGTGCAGTTGCAGACCCCTTTGATTCCTGCTCCATTCAAAATTTAAAACAAACAAGCTGTCAGGAACAGTGGCATTTCTATTCAGGCAGAGCTGAAGAAACAACTGACTCCATGGTTCATTATTAGCTACTTGATCCCTGCTAATCTCTTCACTCCATAGGTGTTAACAACCCTTCATCTTCTGCTAATCAAGCTCTCCTGTCTGCCATCTACTCCTAGCAATGCTTCTCTGCTTACCACCAGCATGCCCAATAAAGGTGTGCCATTGCCCAGGACCCTGTACTGCGTGGCTTTGTTCCTAGAAGATTTGAACCTATAACAAATCAGAGATGGCCAAGAGAGGGGCAGGGATGAAGGCAGATCAAACGGTGCAGTGTTGCAGTCAGAGGCAAGAGGGATTTGCAAATATGAGGCAAAGAGGTAAGTTGGCAGTCAGCATCCTTGAACTGAAAGGGCGGATAAAGGGCAGGACCACAGAGTGCATCACCATATAAATTCCAGATAGCCTGAAGTCCAGATGGCATCCCAGGAAGGCTGCTGTAATTTAGATAGGACCTTATAAAAATACTGTCTGTGGCCTGTGCCGTGGTAAGGGTGAAATGACCATGTCCCCAAACACTGATCTAATTGCCAGCAGGGGGTATCTCACTGCATCTTTTTCAGTGAATAATCAGAGGACTTTTGTTCTTAATGCCACCAACTCTACCACACAATTCACTTTACAAATGTGTCACCTCACTTTTCAGTGATGTAACTAAAATAATGTTTTAAACCAAACCATATCAACTCAGGTTGACATAACGCTGTCCCAACAATTTTAAGAAAGCCAGAGTCATATTCTTACCTTCTACTGAAATATCCTGAATAGCAAAACGAAGGATGATAGTCCAGATCATACCCAGGGTCATTTTCACATTGCCATCAACAATTTCTAAGGTAAACAAAAAGAAAGCATAGTATTAATGAAATATGGTTTGCTATGTATTGTCTTACTTTAATCATGCTCCAGTCATTTGTTACATAGGCAGCAATACAGTTCTTAGTTACAAAGAGCTTCTTTTAGTTACTTTTTCAACAGGATCGTGCTTCTGTTTCAATTGTGATAAACTTGAAAATTACTTATGGTTACAGTCACCTAACACCTTCATAGTAAATGGCTTTTATTCAGTTAATTGCATCTTTCTGAAGCTTTCACTTTTTGGGCTGACTTTTCTATAGGATGAATCTTTGTCTGAGGGGGAAAGTTTGAAAGTTTGCATAAAAACAACCTCGCAAAGCAAATGAAAAAAAATAATTTTTGCATATTTTAAACAACTCCTAAATTACCAAGATGCTTTAAAAAATAATACACATAGTCCATAGCTGAGGCCAGATTTTCAAAAATGCCTGGCAGTCAGCAGCCCCAGCTAAGAGCATTGGAAGCTACTTGTTACTAAGCGTGTTTGAAAACATGCCACAGGATGTAGTTGCACCTTTTAGTTGCACCTTTTGGTTTGGCCAAGTTATGAGGGATTTCATTTAAAAAACAACAACAAGAAGAAAGCACTTGGGTATATGCACTGTTTGGTATACATTTTTCAAGCATATATTAAAAATGTCTTGTCAATAGGCACATGCACTTATATCATTCAAATGGCACCTCTGCAGTTTGAGAATCTAGCTCCAGACATGGTATATGTTTTTAATAATGCAATAATTAGTGCTAAAAAGATTACCAGTTTATTATTTTTCCACTTCACCCTTAGGGGTTCCTCCTAATTTTTTCAAGGGTTTTCCTTCCCTGCTCACAGACTTCATGGGACATAAGCATTGCCATCATATTGGCCAGAAAAATGATCAATCTTCTGAAATGCTCCATGAATTATACAGAACTTGAACCTTCTCAGTCAATCAAATATAGCCAAATAATTGTTTCTATTTCCATGCCCCCCCACAACTTATACATTTCCTTGAACTCAAAATGCAGCATGTCTCTGATCCGCATAATTACTATAGTCATTTTTTCATTTCTCAAAATGTACAGTACATGAATTGCAGTACTCAGAGGGGCATTGCTGATTGGCTGACAATCAGTACATGGATTTGCATAATCACTGTATAATTATTTTGCAGTAGCTATGCTGCAAGTATAGGAATTTTTTTGCTTTCACTGGCTACAGCAGTTTCTCTCCTCATACTGTTCCTGATGGAATATTCACACTAGTTGCCAGCTTCATCTTTTTGGTCTCTTTAGGTGAAAAAGAGCCAAAAATGTGTGAAGAACAAGGAAAGAATACAAAAAGATCAGGACAAGGAAGTTGTTAAATTGCTAAAAATGCTAATGTGATAAAAAAAAAGTTCTTTTTCTCCTCCTCCACAAGCCACCAGAAATATTATCCCCAAAGTAATTCTTATATTTGTGTGTACATTTCCCTTCTTTACTTTGGGAGAACTAGAATCCCTATTTTTCAGTTCACTCCAGAGCTCACATACACAAAATTGTATCATAAGTATTCTAGGGAAAAGAGAAGAATCTGAAAATTTTCAAATATTAATATATAGTTTTACAACTATTACTCCCATTTTACAAGAAGAAAGAAAAAGAGAGAGTTTTCAGCAGAACTAAGCTAGATCTCCCGGGTGTTCAGCCTAGGCCTGCTTGTCGCTTACATTATAGCTTAGTTGCACTATCCAGGATCAGAGAAAGGTACTTAGCCACCTTAGTCTGAAGTCAGGCAGAAGAAAGGACAAAGTGGCACCTTAGGGTGTCTATACACAAGCGTGGAGGCTGTTCCGATGTGCTGGAATTTCAACACATTGGAGCAGATTCGATTAACTTAGTCTGCTGGAGCATAGTATTTGCAAGCGTATCAGCGTTCCCGCGCTTAAAAATGGCAGTGGGGGCACTTAAACTAAAGCTCGCTGCCATTTTTAAGTGCAGGGATACTGATACAGGAGACACAGCGGAGTTTTAATTAGACTGGCTCTCAGAGCCAGTCTAATTAAAGCGCTGCACACCCCACCCTCAGAGCATGTGTAAAAGTGTCCTTATAGACTAACGTAATATCCTAAGGGGATTCATCATCTTCACCCCTCTAGCTCTATATATGCAACAAAACAATGCAGGAGAACTTCAGAAATACTGAGAAACCATCTTCTTCACCTAACCTACTCCAAAAGGGATCAACATAAACAAGACATACTTACCTATGCTACTAAACTAAGAGCTATTAACCTGGAGACACACACAGCTACTATGCTGCAGACTCAAATGTACTACTAAAAATACACAACAGACAGCCATCCAAGTGGAAGCAGCTATTACAACAGTAGACATCTCACAGGCAGTGCACCAGCAACATAGGAAGAAATCAAGGCAGCAGTACCAAAAAGATCAACATCATTAACTGGTCACAGCACCCTCTATCCCATTCTGAAATATCTGTATTCTTTAAAGGCCTGAGCTTCTTTCCAGAGAAGCAACCTGAGGAGAAACTAATATGTGGAGAATTAAAAGAATCCTTCTGCAGACTTTGCCTGAAAGAATACTTCCACACCCAGGATAGAAACACCTCCAGGCTCTGACAACCTTCCTGCCACAACTGAGAAAAAAAGCAATAATTAAACATCAGACTGGACAACTCCCAGAGGATGTAACCACACAATGAACTAATATATTGGCTGCTTCAGGAAAAAAGGTAACAGCCAAATTCTCAGCAAAAGCCAGGATCACAACTAACTCTCTTCCTCAGAAAGAAAAAACATAGACTCTCTAACATCCAGAAGTGAAATAGTAATCAAACCAAAGGATAAAAGGTGGAGCTGTAGTCATCCTCAGCTGTCAAGATTATATCAAGACATACAAAAAAACTAGAACTCTTGGTTCCAAAATGATACCTTTTATTAGACCAACTAGAAAATGGCAAGAAAATGTCCTTTTCTGCAAGCTCTTGTGATCAAAGTCCCTTTGTCAGGCTCTGGGAAAAGTGTAGATGGTGCAAGATGGTAAAAAGTTCCCGTAGGTAGGAAAAAAACCTTAAATTTTGCACAGAGGGAGCAGGAGTACACCCCTGAAGATTATATCAATGGACCCAAAATACAACTATCTGACACCAAATACTATAAAGGGGAGAACTCCACGTAAGTATTCACTCTACCATTGGTGCCATGCTACCAATGGATCTGCTGACCTTGGTAGGAGTTGCTATCCATCTAAGAGGAATTCCCTCTCCATGGAGCAGAGCACCCTCTCACAACACCCCACCAGGCACAGGAGGGAGTCATATTCACTCAGGGTAGGATTTCTGTGCCTCCAGGTCTGGCCAGACTGACAGTTCTTCACAAAAGCCAAGACTTGCTGTTGGCAGGCCACCCAGAAATGAAAAAGACCTACCAACTGGTTGCCCACTACTTCTGCTGGCCATGCCTGCATGAGACAGTCCAAGATTTCATCCACTCCTGTGATCTTTGTGCCTGTACTAAAAAAACTCACATAAAAAACTTGTGGGCTCCTCCATCCTCCTGTTTTCCCCTCTCCCTTAACCCTGGTTTGCTATTTTACTGGACTTTACAGTAGAGATACCTGAATCCAATGGGTACGCTATGATCCTGATAGTGATAGATCAGTTAACCAAAATGTCTCACTTTATCCTATGCACAGGTCGGCCCTGGCCAAAGACACTGCCCAATTATGGCTAGATCATGTGTTCTTCACCTTCATGGTCTCCCAGGCTGCACAACCTCCAATTATGAGCTCCAGTTCATTTCCCGAGTTTCATTTGTGAGGCCTTGCACCTGCTCAGGGTCCATGCCCAACTCTCATCCATATATGACCCACAAGCAGCCAAGCTGAGAGAACAAATCAGATTATAGAACAGTAGCTTCAGCGTTACCTCAATTTCCAGCAAAACAAGAGGACCCTCCTGCTAGCACCTGTAGAGTTTGCTTACAAAGGTTCCACTCATGCCTTGACTGAATAAAGCCCATTCTTTACTAATGGATTCCACCCTAGCTACACCCAACTACTTGTCACCCCGGATAAAGCTGTGGCCAAAGACCGGGTACAACATGGGCAAGAGGTCCAAAATTAAAAGTCCATCTAGAAAAGACAAAAGAAGCATACAAAGAACACATAGATCAGCAGGGCCTGCTTAGTCAGTAGGACAAAAGGTATGGCTGTCAACCAAATACTTCCATACCTGCTGGCCCCTGCAGTATCTGGATCACAGGTACATCAGTACCTTTTGTATTACCCAACAAATTAATCTGGTCACAAATGAATTGCAACTCCCACCAACACTCAAAATCCATCTGATATTTCACATGTCCCTGTTCAAGCCCTACATGGAAAACTCACTCCTTGGTTAATCTCAGCTTCCTCTACCACCCGTGATGGTTCAAGGACAAGAAGAATACTTACTTCAAGAGATTCTAGACTCAAGATAAAGGTGAGGAAAATTATACTGTATGATTACTAGACTGTGAATTCACCAGGTTACAGGCCAGACAAATACACGTGGGAGCCTGAGGAACCCTGCAGAAAACATCCATGCTGCTGATCTGGTACAAAATTTTCATGAGGGCCACCCAGGAAAGCCTGGGCTAGGGTCTCCTAGGTCAGGGGTGAGAAAAATATGGCCCACAGGCCAGATCCAAGCCCCAGAAGGACTTTGTCAACCTGTGGTGGGTCCCTCAGTCCCACCTGGTGCAGGCACCGTCTGACCCGTGGCATGTCCTACTGCCCCCAGGCATGCAGCGGGCCTGGAGCACATCCACAGCTGGACTCCATTTCCTGGCAGTCCCTGTGGCAGTGGCTCCTTTTAGTTGCTGCCACCATCAAACCCAGTCCCGTGTGGGTGGGGCCCAAGTCCTGGGCTGAGTGCAGGCCCCGGCCCCGGCCCAAGCAGGGGGTTGGGGTCCCTGCAGCATCTGCTCCAGACCTGCCTGCCCCAGCCACAATAAATGGTGGTGGCAGATCTGGTGTGGGAGTCCAGGTCCCACTTTTTCCTGCCACCACCACTGCCACCACTGCCCATCATGGCCAGGATGGACAGGTCTGCAGTGGGTGTGGCAGAGACCCCAACCCCCATATGCGGGGTGGGCCAGGGCCAGGGCAGGGGTCAGAGCTGTGGACTTAACTCAGGGCTTGGGCCCTGCCCGCTCCTGTCTCCATCCCACATAGGGAAGTTTGGTGAACTGTTGTGGTGGGAGTGGGGGGGGGGGGGGGGGGGGGGGGGGGGAATGTGCTTTCCTGGCCCATGACAGTTCCACAAACCTCCCTATGTGGCTCATGGGACCAAGTAATTGCCCCCCTCCCCCTCTGGGTGGTGTTACAGGAGCAGGGGAGTGGGGGGAGTAATGTCAGGTCACCTGGGTGTTGGTCTTGAACCTGGGGCCTCAGCCTGCCTGGTATGTCCACTTATCCCAGTCTGTCACACGCATAGTGGATCATGAGCTTGGAGGGAGGTGGTCAGAACCTGATATCCAACTCACTTCGTGCAACCAGAGTGGCCAGCCAGGATCAGTGGACCCTTTACTCCTTACTATTAAACGCTGAAGGAGGAAGTGTCTAGGCAACAAGGCTCCATCTTGAACCGAGACTGCCTCACTTAGCTACCCAACCTGGCTTGCCCACAGATCCTGAGTTTGGCCTGGCCCTTTGGCTCCCTAACCTGACTTTGGTTTGATCTCCCAGATAACCAGATACCTAACCTGGCCAGCCTCCTGACCCCGTTCTCTGCCCGATACTCTGATTTAGTTCCCCAAATGGATCTTCTGGCTTCTAGGCTCCCCTACACTCAGACTCTACACACTCCTCTTGGATCTTGGTTGCTTTTTTCAACCCCCAGACCTGGCCACCCACAACCCAGCATGACACTGTGCTTGCTTTCCTCCTCAGAACTGATGAAAAATGTCTTGCATTCAAAAACATGTCTACCTTTATCCCAACCATGCAACAGGTCCAATAAAAGATATCAGCCAAAAAAATCCTTGCCTCTTTTATAGACTAACAAATTCAGATAGGCATAAGCTTTCATAAGCAACAAATTACTTCATCAGACACTATGAATGGACCTTCAGGGAGCAGGATTGTAAACAGAAAGCAGCTATTTGAATTTGGACCATTCTGAACACAATCCAGTTTGTGGCTGATGTCTTGTGTTCAAGGTGTTTTTTTAAAGTTTGACCCATTTTCTTAAAAAACAAAATTTAAAAAAACACTTTGCCCTGTTAAAAGGAATAGCCAACAGTTTCAAAAATAGATAATTGAAGTTGGGCTTCTAAACTCAATCATCCTGATTTTTGAAGTACAGACTTCCCCAACAACTCACACTGAAACCAGGAGGGGTTGTGGGGACTTCCTTAAGTGACTGCATATGGATTCAGAAGCTTAACACCAGTGACCTAGTCTCAGATGTTCAAAAGCACTTAGGTGGAATTGAGGTGGATAAATCCAAGTAAGCCGAGCAGAAAAACCCATTTCATCACTTAGGTACCTAAGATTCTTTCAGTGCCTACATTTTCACCAGGAACATTATTTAGACACCTACGGTTCTGACAATGCATGTACCCAAAACAGTAACTGCCTTGGGACAGATGAACCTACTGATACCTGTTTCACACCTAACCGGATTTGGGATTCAGAGAGTGGACACCCCTTGAACTTAAGTGCTCACAGGCAGTCATGTCAGCAGGCCCAAAGAAACAGATAGCCCACATAAACAGTGTTGAATTCAGTGCAAAGTATAGCAATCATAGCCACTTTCATTCAGAAACATATCTGGGGGAAGAGGTGGCAGTCATGGTGCCATTGCTACCACCAATATTTTGGGAAGTAGGTCACTCCCAAAAATGGAAGACCTTGGTTTTAGGCTCTTCGGAGCCTTAGGTGGTTCAAAGTCACATCTTCCACCTCCCAGGAGAGGGTCTTAACTATCAGGCTATGCCGAGGCAGGGGGTGCTGTCCACTCTTCCTGTTGAGGTTGAGCCACTGTGCAGCAAAGAATACAAGATGTCTGAGACCAAACATCTAGGATATCCCATCAAGAATATTCTGTGTACTAAGTAGGCACAGTTCACCATATTAACAAGATGGCAATAAAATGCAATCACAAAGCAATTACACCAATACATTTCCTGTATAAATGATTGCTCTCTAGGTATTCAATAAATGAACATGAAGCGCAGGATGCAGTACAGTCTAGAATCTGATTTCTAAAGGAACTATAATTTTTAACAGCATGTTGAAAGATAGGAAGGCACTGAAAGAAGCAAATATCCTCTTAATCTTCAGGAAAAAGGAATGAGCAGCAGCTAAGGCATTTTAGGCCTTTTGGCTGGCATGCCACAAATAAAGCCCCATGCCCTCTCTAAGTGCTACTCCAATATCCTTCACCTGCCTGATCTGCTGCACTGCTTTCTGCTCCCTGTCCATCTGCAGTAGTGCTGCCTGTCCCCTCCCGTGGGCTGCATGCCATGCACAGAAGTTACCTGTGCCACTTAGCGGTTGGTTCCCCCTGTTCTATAGTCTACAGTCCCAGCCAAAGCCCCACATTTCCATGTGCCTGTAAAGTTTCTGCTTCTTGTCCTCCCCCTACTGCAGAGAAGCCATCAACATTCAGATGTTTTGGGGGCCTTCTATGTCCAAGGGACATACTTCCAAGGGAAGTGGTACCTTCTTCTTCCAAGGGAAGTGGTGCTGGCTCCTACCTTGGGGGTCTTTAAGAGGAGGCTTAACAATTACCTAGCTGGGGTCATTGAGCCCAGTATTCTCTCCTGCCCAGGGCAGGGGATCGGACTCGATGATCTACTTAGGTCCCTTCCGACCCTACATCTATGAATCAAAGAAGAACCAGCACAACCTGGTCCCAAGTCCCTGTATCAAATTTGTTTGAGAAATGTAGGACCTGGCAACCAAGGCCAGTTGGCAAGTCCTTCCACATACCTTCTGCACCAATTGATACAAGTTTCACTCCTTTGCTGGCAATAAAATCCAGGGCTTTGTTGACATTAGCTATTTTATGGAAGCGCATCTTTCCTCTGTCTGGCTTTGGTAGTCTTTCTCCTGTAGGAAAACAAATGTGATGTTATTGTTACAGGCACCTAACTACAGGCACACAAGTGAATAGAAAAACTTAGAATGTATGTGCACTATATGATGTCTAAGAGCTAACAGCTATCCTGCAGGTATTTTTCTGAAAGAATGTCAAGTGCCTTTGAACAAAACCCCAAAGAGCAAATTCAAATGAAGAAGTGACAGGCTTTGATCTCTTTAGTACAGCAGTAAAACCTCACAAACATTTTTACATTTACCCCAAATACCTTAAAGACATATGAATACATTTACTTTCCAAATTTCATTTTCCTGTTAATAGCTGTTTTAGAGTAGTTGAATATTAAAAAAGGAAGGGCAGAAGCCCTTCTGCACAGTATATCAACCTTTCCTGCCTGATTACAAGGTGAGTCTGAATTATATAAATCAGACAGCCATATTACCCCTGTCTAAGTGAAATCTCAGCCAACCTGATGATTTCTGAAGTGAAGAAGATTGACAGAGATACACTAGATGGAAGAGTACACTGGGGAACAGACAGAATCCAATTATCTGTACAGTTAACCATATAAGTCCCACAGACCTTAGGATGCTGCAGCAGGCATCACTGCCACCTTCAGACCTAACCCAGCTGGAAAACCAACTAATTTCAGGGCCATGCTGCCACCACCTGGTATCCAAAGGTTGCACAATCTTGTCTTTTCCAATGGTCAAGAATGTAATTATATGTGAATACATATCAAAATTGTCGTCTTCTCAAAAAATAGCTTAGAAATGCTCTTTTTACCATGCTCCCTCCCTTTCCCCTCTATCATCAACTAGGTCACCCTCTCCCCATTTCCCATAGCTTCCTCAATTTATTACAGACCCCATTGGCGGCTGCACCTTTTAAATGGAAAGGAGAAAGGATGAATTAGCTAGTTAAACATAAGTCAAAGGGAGATGTTGGATGATGAACACTTAAAATTAGGGCACTTATCTTTGGTTTCCAAATATGAACTTAGAATCCTGATGTTACGTATTCACAAGAAAAAACGGGGAGAGAACCCCATAAAGAAATTTATTAAGGAAGTTAGTGTGAGGCGGACAAATCATCCATTTCTTCTACCTTTTAAGAGTAGCGGGAAACTAAGGTTTTTATTTTCAGCATCAGAGCAGCTGCAGCAATCAATTCACTCAGGATGCTCAATAAATGAAGCTCAGAGCTCATTCATTTGGCAGTGAACTGTTAAGAATTACTTATTGAAGTGCAGATTTGTTGGTCTCAGCTGCTCGACAACAGGATTTCTCCTAACCAACCTATATGGGATTAATTTCCGCCATATAATATGTAGGCTGAGGAGTTTTAGATTAAAATGTAGGGAGCATTAAAAGTTTTTATTTGAAACAAACCTGAGATGACCTCCAAGAGAAGCATCAATTTAAGGCCATTCCTGAAGTCCTCTTCGATGTTCTCGATCTGCGTGCCTGCTTTCCTGAGGTGGGAATTGCACCAGGCTGTGAATGTCTGCAATAGCAATTAAAAACACACTTGTCACTGTGGCATCTTTCAAAACAACTGCTAAAATACCTGAGGAAATACTGCATCTGAGCTTGTCAAGACTGTGAAGGAGACAGAGTTATTCAATTCCCATTAATTTTAAGTATTCAGGCTGGCTTGAAATTCTCATCCTACACATTCATGATGCACTTTGAAGATAAAACAGTCTCTCTGCTCTATGAAAGAGAAGTATTTTGCTGAATTATGCTTTCTTCAAAAGATGCTCTATGTGTGTAGGCACAATGTGTTTTACAGTCACTACTGTACATAAGGACATAATCATCAAACAGGCCTGCTCATGCATTGTCAGACTCTGAGGCTAAGAAAGTGTGTGTGTGTGTGTGTAATGACCTCTAACTATGGATTGTCAGTGCTACCGCAGGCTGTCATCAGTGTGTGGACTACCCACTTCATAGGTAAGGACATGTGCTTCTCACCTCTTTTATTCAAGAAACACAGAATTATGGTCATGGGCATTTATTGGACAGAAGTGAGGAAAGGAGGAAAAGAAAACCTATCTCCACTTGCTGAAATCAGAGTGACAGCGAGGTAATCCTGGTACTTAAAAATAAAGATGTAGAGAAACAAAATACCATCGTAAACAAGGGCACTTAAAAAGAAAAGAACACAGCCAAGTCTCGCTGTCTGTTTATGATGATCTCTGCATAGAGACTTCAAAATAATTTCCGTATTTTAATAGGGCCTGATTCACCATGGATTTTGTAAAAATGTAGATTCTTCCTTATATTAACTTCCAAACAGTGATCATATCTAAGTTTTCAGAATCAAAATTATCATGAAAGACAACATGATGAGCACATTTCTGCCTGTGAAAGCATTGGGAATAATTCTCCTCTCGCTTACAAGGGTATAAAACAGAAGTAATTCCAATCTTAGTCAATAGTTATGCACCAGTCTAAAACTTGTGTAAATAAATTTTAAAACATTGTAAATGTTTGGTACAGTGATTATTAATCAGGGTGCTGTGGGGCACTATGCGATGTTAGCGCTGTGAAGTGTGAAAACTTGACTTACAAGATAAAGCCAGGGATTTCAAATAGGAATCTATACTGTCAAAAACATCCTGATCTGTTGTGGTTTTTCTGAGTTCTTTGCAACAGAATTGATGTTTTATTCTTCTGCAGTCAAAAAGTGAGTGAAAGCTAAGATCTGGCATTTTACAAAGAGTGTCCCGAGTCCAACAAGGAGTTTCTTGAGTCTAAAAAATGTTGAGAACCACTGGTGTAGTAGCTTAAAATGACCATTTTCCAGAAGAGATATTTTTCTGTCTTCTAATTCATTCATCAGTCTCTCTGGTGATTTTATATGTGTGCGCATGTGTGTACTATAGCTCTTTTTCATAAAAATGTGTTTTAAAATATTCCTGGGGAAAAAATATCAAGAACCTCTCTAACATAAGAAACTTCCTTTTGACTTAAGTTTAAATAACCTGATGATATTTGTCCTGAATTCCATTTGCATGTAGAGTTTTATAAAGCTTTTCTACTTTCCTGCTATTGTATGTGTCTTTTATTTGAAGAAATAAATTGACAAACTCTAGTACTAAAACCCCCTCAAGCTAGACATTAGCAACCTCCTGGCTTTGAGCCATGCTACTGAACCTGCCTTCAAGCAGTCTGAGAGTGTTTGAGCATGTCCGAGATAGAGGGATCAGCTTTTATCAGCTTCCAAAGTACTTGGGGCTAGTAGTTGAATGTTCCTTCCTTCCTCTCTGACTTGTTAAGTTGATCCTTCCTTTCCCTTCCCCTCTGCTTCTTCAGACTAACAGTTTTTTTCCTTCTTCCTGTTAGAAGACAGAGACAGATGGAGAAGATAGGCTCTGAAACACAGGAGAGCTCAGCAGGTGAATGAGTAAAGGAGAACAACCAGTTTCAGACACTGATAAAGTCACATGTAATAGTCTGCAAAATTTGTAGAGCTGCTAAAATAAATATGGGCAGCCACACATTCAAAACACTTTGGCTGGAGCCCAGCAAAAGCATGCTATGCTCTCTACTGCACTCTCCAGCCAAAGGACAATCAGGGGCTGCTCCACAATTTCCCCCATGCCCAGGAGAGCTTATTAATAGGCCAGACAGGCTCACAGAGAGACTTGTGAGCCTGGCACCTGGGCAGACCAGAAACCCAGGTGGTTTCGGCTTCCCTGGGAGCCCTTTGAATATCCTGGTGCTTTAGGTTAGGGACATAAACTACATATAAACCAGTATAAGTGATCAGAAACTGGTTCAAATCTGGAACACAAGTTCAGTGCACATAAACTGCTTTCAAAATGGCCAAAACTGGTTTAAGATAAACCTGGATGGATGTAGTATCAGACTTAACTGATTTAGGTTAAATTGGTTTATTGAACTTCTGTCCCAGATTCCCTCCAGATTCAAGTTAACTCACAGTCCCCCAGCATCTCAGGATGGTTTGTAGGGCTGTGCAAAGCTTCAGTGACTGAATCAATTTGGAGGAGATTTGGCCCAATTCGGCAGCCAAATCTCCAAATCCGAATTGAATCGGGAGATCCATTGAAAGGTCCAAATTGAATCGGAAGCCTCCGAATCAATTCGGAAAGATTCGGAGATTTGGAAGGCTTGCAGCAAGCAGAAATTGAGAAGAGGAAGGGGGATAGAGTGATCTTCCATACATGGAAAAGGCTGAGGTGGGGGGGAAAGACTGCTCTGATATTGACATCTGGCCAGTGACTGGAAGGGAACTTTCTCCGAGTTCCCTTCCAATCACAGTGCTCTGGGGGAGGGACGTAGAAACAACATATGAAGCTGTGTCTGAAGTGATCTGTGTCTTTTGTGAGCTGTCTCTCTCTTGGAGCAGCAGCGTCTGAAAGGCTCTAGCTCACTAGCTAGTCTCTTGCTAGCTAGTCTCTCTCCTTGTAAGTTATATCCAATCCTTTCCTACTTTCCCTTGCCTACAGTCCCTATTCTTATCCCTATCCATTGCTTTCAACTTATTTTTCCCCTGAAATCCTCTTATTTGTTCATGTTAGTCTGTCTTGATTCTTTCCCCGCCACAAAAAGAAATCTGTGTTTTCCCTGACAGTGTGTTATCACTATGCAGGAAAGCACAACATATATTACATACACACACACATTTTGCAGCACACCAAACATTCTGAAGTGTGCTGGAAAGGCAGGTGCCAGGTCTTCTGGCAGCGGAGGGAGAGGGGGCAGAGAGAAAGCTGCAAGTTGCCCCCATCCCAAACATAGATTTCATAGACATTAGGGCTGGAAGGGACTCGGAAGATCATTGAGTCCGGCCGATGCACCCTCCTTCCTGGTAGTGATGAGTCTTCTGCTGCTAGTGGGAGCAAGGAGGTGGTAGCAGTGCATGCACCTGCACCACTGCCACTAACACCACTGACCAGCAGCAGCATAGCATTCTCCACCCCAAATTCATCTGCCAGCACGAGCCTTCCAGTGCCAGAGGAGGTGCTGGATATGGAAGCAGAGGAGCTGAGGGCCATATTGAAGGAAATTCTGGGAAAGGAGGGGGAATCTGAGTTTGTGCTCCACACCCCTCAAAGTTCCCCTAGAGGAAGGTCTTCTTCTCTGGAAGGCACTTCAGAGGAGGTTGTGGGGGCAGGTGGCTCAGCTCCTCCTCATGTTGTAGCTCTGCCTGATGAGGAGGGGGAAAAGTCAGGATCCCCACTTTCAACCCAGAAGCGGGTGGGTAGTGTAGTGTGGGATCATTTTGAGGTGGCAGATGATCCCAGGTATGCTACCTGCCAGCACTGCCAAAGGCAGATCAGCCGGGGTAAGGAGGTGAAACACTTCACCACCATGGCAATGCTGCTGCATATCAGGAGGCAGCACCCCCTTGCCCTTGTTCCTCTTCAGCCTGGCACCAGTGGGAGCATGGCAAAAAAGTAGTCCCCCTCTCCCTCCAAAGCCCCCATCCCCAAGAAACAGAGGCAGGCCACCCTGCCTCTGTATGAGGCATGCAGGGAGTACGTGAGGGAGGATCTGTTCAAGGCAGGGCCACAGGTAGCCTTGCACTTCACCTCAGAAATCTGGAGCAGCCGGGGTGGAGATCATGTCTACCTCTCTCTCATAGGGCACTGGTGCAATTAGTCAGGGTGTCAGTGGGCTCTCCTTCAAGCAGAGGTGATGGATGAGTCCCACATGGCAAGGGAGATCATGGTGGCCATGAACCACATGGTGCAGGGGTTGCTCACTGAGCAGGGCGAGCTCACCCATGGGTTCATGTTCACCAACAATGGGGACAGTATGGTCAAGGCAGTGCATGATGCCAACTTTGTTGGCATCCGCTGTGTGGCTTACAAGTTCTACCTCGTAGTCAAGGATGCATTGGAGGGGGACAGGGCTCCCAGTGATGGCACCATCACTACCAGCCAGCTCATTTCAAAATACAGGAAGGTGGTGGGCTACTTCTACCAGAGCACCAAGCGGTGCAAGATGCTGCAGGACAAACAGGCAGAGCTGAGCATCCCGCAAAACAAAATCATGCAGGATGTGGACACTCATTGGAACTCCACAAACCTGGTGCTCAAGAGGCTGGTTGAACAAAAGAAGGCCATCCATGTGATGGCCTTGCTTGGGGAGATTGAGATCAGTGGTCCCCTTAACACAACTGAGTGGGGTACCATCTCCCAGATCTTGGTGGTCCTCAAGCTGTTCCTTGAGGCCACCAAGACCTTCAACACTGGTGATGCCCTCCTTAGCCAGGTGATCCCTGCAGTAAAAGAGATTGAGAAAGAAATGGAGAAGTTTCAGGGGATCAGTGTTCCTGGCTGGAGGAAGCCGCTTTCATCAGAGGTGCAGGCACTGGTGAGGTGGCTGAAGGAGGGCATCAAAAATATGGCTGGATTCATTGTGGTCCAGTACAGTCCACGTGCTGGCAGACACGTGCAACCCAAGGATGAAGGTTAGTGTCTGCAGCAACAAAACCCTCCATCACTGGACAGAGGTGCTGGTGAACAGGCA